AGTTTGCCTCCCAGTGGATGATATTTAATGCACCATTTAGCGAATAATCCCCTGGGGGCTGTTTTTTCCTGTTGATACAGAAGCATTATTTTGATGCTTCTATATTAGTATCCATAAAATATGCACTGTCAAGTATTCACCCAGTGGTAAACTATCCACATATTTAGAGGTAACTGCTCACACTTCCCTAGCTGGGCATTTTGGAGCATTTGTATTTTTTTTTTTTTTTATTACAATAAAGTTTCCTTTTCATTGTAGATACTTTGTTCCTAGTTAGCACATTACAGGTACTGTGGGTTTATATCATACCAAGTTATTGTAGATACATTAGTTAGCTTTCTATTATTATTTTTATTTCCAATAATCTTACCAGTTTGGAATCCCACACGTCCCCCTGTTGTGGGATTCCTTCCTTCTCCTATATTGAGACATTGCCAAATAAAAATATTGGGAATTTATTGCATACTACTTCAGGATTATGAAATTTTGCAAATGGCTACACAAAACACTCAAAATAACCCATTTGGAATCCCCTCAGGTGTCTACTCTTGAAGATGGTATGCCATTATTGTGGTCATTTTCTTCACCAAACTGAAATAGGTAGGCCCCAAATTCAGCCCTGTAATTTCCTGAAATCCTCTAAAATCTGTAGATGGGGGTATTGTTATAATTGTGGCACATTGTTGAAAAGAAATACAGGTGCTTTATAGTAGTAAAACATATAAGGATGAAGATGATATAAACACTGAAAGTGCAGTTTGTGTATAAAAAAAACCCCCACAAATATATAACACTCTATCTGGCCAGGTTTTGTGCCTGCAAAAACAAAAAAAAAAACTAGACATGCCCCATTTGGAACACACCATGTTATCTACTTTTGCAAATGGTATGCCATCATGGAGGTAATTTTCATTCCTGGAATGCCATACTGCCTCAAAGGCGACATAGCACCAAAAATCAATTTGTCAAACTGCCATGTATAAAAGCCGAAATGGATAAACCATATACCTGGCCCTATAACTTAAAACACAAATCATGCACTGTGTACATGGAGGGAGGAGGGGTATTGTTGTGATTGTGGGATGACATCACTGAGCAAAAATATGCATGTTTTATTGCAGCAAATATATAGGGATGATATAAATGGTGAAAGTGCAGAATCCGTGTAAAAAACACACACACAAAACAAATTGGCCATGTTTTTGGCTACACAAAATGACTGGACTTACCTCATTTGGAATACCAAGGGTTGTCTACTTTTAAAAATGGTATGCCATCATGGTGGTAGTTTTCTATCCTGGACTAGCAGTTACTTTACCCTTCAAAACAGAATGCGCTATTTTGTTTTTTTCACCCCTCTGAGTTACTGATTTCCCAAACCTAACTGATTAATATTATCTTTATAGTTATGATAAAGCTTGTAGTGAAAAACTAGAAATAAGTATTTATCTCTTAATCAGTTCACCAGTTTACAGAGGTAGAAAAGTGGATCGCAAAAAACAAACTCTTCCTAAACACTGACAAAACTGTCACAATGATCTTTGGAACAATACATAAATTACACAAATTACACAATTCCCACCTATCTGTCAAAACAAAATCAAATAGTACACTGACCGCAGTCTACTCTTTCAAATCCTTGGGTATGTTGTTCGACCCCAATCTATCTTTTGACCTCCACATAGAAAAACTTGCATCTAAACTTTATCCAAAACTAGGTGCCCTGTACAGAAACAAATCCTGCCTAAGCCCTACAGTAAAGGAAAAGATTGTACAGAAAATGCTGATGCCAATCTTTGGTTATGGGGATGTAGTATATGCATCTGCATCACAATCCCACATTAATAAACTCAACACATTGTATAACTCGTTCTGCAGATTTGTGCTACAATGTAATTACAGGACCCACCATTTTGACATGCTAAAAGAACTAAACTGGTTGTCGCTGGAATCCAGATGCACCCTTCAGCTTTCCAGCCTTCTGTTTAAGAGCTTTTCTGGATAGCTCCCGCCCTACCTGAGCAGAATGCTCTCCCCTGCTGTTCCCATCTCCTATAACCTTTACCAGCACTTTTTTTTATTCTACCTCAATACAAAAAGAATGCGTCTCGATCCTCCTTTTCCTACCTACAGAGCGCCGCAATTATGGAACGACCTCCCGCACACTTTCAAATCTTCCCTAAGCCTAAACTCCTTTAAGAGAGCTCTCTCTACATACCGCAAAACAGAATGCACCTGTCATGGTTGATTATATATTTTCTACCTGTGCTATGTTGAATTTTGTATATATTGTGTATTAATATTGTTTTTGTATTTTATTGTACCATAATGTATCAATGCAATGTTTTATGGACCCAGGACATACTTGAAAACGAGAGTAACCCCAATGTATCTTTCCTGGTAAAATATTTTATAAATAAATAAACAATCCCCTCAAGTTATTACTTACTTATTTGTACGTGGTATGCCAACCTAAGGACAGCTTCCACTTGGCTTCAGATTCCACTGAAAGATCAGGCTGCTTAGAGACGCTGGGATGATGAAATATCTTCAGAATGATTATATTCTTTTATTTAAAAAAAACAAATCACAGGGTCTACTATTTGGTCATGGTTATCTATTGCACCTATCCTAATTGATCACATTTGTATTCAGTTTTTATTGAGTGGATGGCATTTTAACCTTTTGTTATTTATCTTTAATATTTTGTATTTAACTCCTTTGTTGGATAATTGTTAGGGCTTTTTTTCACATATCTGTACTTGTTTGTTTTTTTCTCAGAAAAAAAACTAAAGTGTTAAAAAACAAACAAACCAAGTGTTATACTCCTAGTAAAGCTTCTAGCATAGAGAGTTGATGCATTCATACTATGCCTATCATGATGTTTCTCTCTCACCCACAGTGGTTTTATACTCCCTCATATTGTCAGTTCTGACAATTCATGGTTGTTTATTTGTTAAACGTTTCTCCCACTGACAACCCTCTTGGCTAGCCATTACTTGCCTAGCCTGACCTCACTTAGCATGTCCATATGTACAGCCTGGCCCTGTGCATCCTTTGATTTTCTCCTCTTATCCCAGGAAGTGACATGCTTATTCAGCTAGCTATTTAGGCTGTATTCCTCTTATTTCTTTTCTCTCTTGGTTAACAAAAAAAAGTACAGCATATTGACACAGATCCATTCTTGACCCAAGATTCTGGAGATACAATCTAATACTATGTGAATTTTCAATCCTTTGTTGGGTCTCGGTTCCTTGATCAATTTAGATTTGTACATCAGACACTCAGAGTGACCGATCATACTCTCCCTCCGCATTAGCTCACTTCTTTATTTGTTAACATTGAAGCGTACATGAATTCTGGACCACTAGTGATGATAGTGTTTTACATCATGTGCATTCCCGTAATCTGTTTTATTTATTTGAGATATAGATTCAGATTACGAAACAAGTCCTAGATCTTTTTTTCCACTCATCACACACACTTTCTGCATTCAGATAATGTGATTTCTTCATGTATGATCTGTGTGGTGATATTAATCAGGAATCAGACAATCACAGATACAGTTATAATTATTTTTATTAATTATTATTGTATTGCAATATACAGGCAGACATTTTAACATTGCTGCAGTTCCTGTGATTAATAATATGTGATTGATCCAGAGGAAGGCAAAGAAAAACCCAGGTACATGATGTCTTGCTGGGGGAAAAAAATTCCTTCCTGACCCCATGTATGGCGATCGGTTTAATATACTCTGGACCAGCCAACTAATGTGTTATAACTGTATATTGCTGAACATATTACACTAAAATGCTACTAGAAAGGATAACATTCAGAAAATAACTTCCTTGCTCTCAGAGCCTACACTCTAATATGAATGATACAATACAGAGAGAGGTCTAATATGAATGGTACAATACAGAGAATGAGGTCCCTGCTCACAGAGCTTACACTCTAATATTAATTATACAATACAGAGAGAGGTCTAATATGAATTATACAATACAGAGAGAGAGGTCCCTGCTCAGAGCTTACACTCTAATATGAATTATACAATACAGAGAGAGAATACCCTGCTCACAGAGCTTACACTCTAATATGAATAATACAATACATAGAGAGAGGTCCCTGCTCACAGAGCTTACACTCTTATATGAATTATACAATACAGAGAAAGAAAGAGGGCCCTGCTCACAGAGCTTACACTCTAATATGAATTATACAATACACAGAGAGAATACCCTGCTCACAGAGCTTACACTCTAATATGA